ATTCGAATAATTAGAATGCATTATATTTTAAATTATTTATATGATTGCACATGTGATATTGTTACTCCTTACATCTATTACCAATGTGTTAACCTTGCCGCGTTTTAGACTTATTATGAGTTTCACAACACTATAATAAAAAACTAATTATCTAATTGGTATAAACAATTAAATAATACAATGGGAATGCAAGATTAATCATAAAATACAAGAAATACTAAATTGCTGGTGTTAAACTAAAATAAATAATTAACAGGGTTCATCTTCATCCATTAGAAAAACGGAACTAGGCTAGTATGATTTTGTATAAATTACAAAAAGAATAACAGAAAATATTTCTCGAATCATAAAATAATGCAAAGATATTGATCTTCAAATCCAAAGTTGAAATCTTCAATTTCTTGATGTAATTGACATCCAATTCTTGTTAGGGTTTGATCTTATCCATCAAAATATAACAATTTGCCTATTGTTCTTGATGAATAATGTGATTTAATTGTGTAAGTAGAGCCTCAAGAAAGTTCGCAATGTTTCAACTAGTTTTGCATGTATAAGAATGCAAAAATCTGCCCAACATCGCGTAAAATTTCAATCCAATTAAAATTCTGGTCTAAAACGAAATTGCAGCGACAATCTATAGTTTTCCACAATGCGTGCATGTAGGCATACAAGCCGCATGCATGCCATACAAATTGTTGGGTATCAACTCATTTTGGCTTAAGCCGATGCGGAGGCGACACTTTTTCCACTCGCCCGTGCAACTTCAATTTTCATATTTGTGTGTTTCGGTCCCAGCTTTTGGATAATATTCATGTTAAGACCCATTTTCATGCAACTCTAATCCTTCATTTTCCAATTGCTTCCAATTTAGTCCAATCATGTCCGAATCAACTATCAAAAATTCACAATTTAGTCCCCAACCTTTACCTAACAACCTTTGTCCAATTTAATAAATTTATATCAAGTTCTACCTAACAAAAAGAAAAATATAAATATAAATATAATTAAGTCATAAGTTAGCAACATTAATAACAGTCAGCCTCATTTAATGGTCCATATAAGTATACAAAGTACACTTATCGAGAGTAAATGGTGAAACTTTTATGAAGTAAGTATGAAACACTTATTTCCTTAACAAATAAAAAGAAAAAAAGTAAAAAGTCTAACAGAATGAGTTTCAACATCTAATTCTAATCAGAAGAAATGCCTCAAGATAAGTGGAATATGTTCAGACACAAAGTATTTACGTGGTTGTAAACTAACTTTATTTCAAATTTATTAGACATCAACTTGCATATACTGTTTCGTACAGAAAGCTATATAGGGAGATACTTTAATTAAGGGCAGCGTCCAAGAGTTTAGAGTGCACTTCTGGTGAAGGGATTTTATAACTTAATTCAGTAGGTTGGTGTAAGGACAAGTCTGTTATAGACAAACCCAACAGAATTCAATCCGATTCTGCTACTCCAAAACAAAGTCAGATATAATGTATTTATTTTGAATGGATTAGAGGACTTTATGATATGGAAGGGGGTGAAACTCTTTCTCTCAGCCATGTTCTACGTTTCGCTAAGGCTAATGGACTTAGGGTTAGTATTGCAGAAGTATGTTTTGGTACGTGTTGAGGGAAATAAGATGGCGCATATTCTTGCTTCATTCGATACTACTTGTCCAATTGCTTTTAATTAGTTTGATTGTATTCCACTTTTATCTCACCCGTTGTCAAATGAAATTGTGGCCAACCCACATAAAAATTGTTTATTGTATAGATTTTGGATAGTCAATATATTTTGATAAGCTCAAATTCACAAAGATAAATTGATGAAACTCACTGTAATTTATTATTGCATATATGAAATTAAATTCACTAACGTCTCAGCAGAAAAACCTAACCTAGCAATCGCCAACCATAGGAACCACCTACGTAAAGAAAATCAACTTAATTTATTCACTGTAGAAAGGGAGACTAATTTTAAAAAATTTAAGAATCGGTGTCTATATATAGAGCCAACAATAAATCTCCATTGCCAAATCCAAAGAAGAGAATTTAACTAAAGAGTGAAGGAACCTCACATTTTTTAGTTGCCATGTCGAGCTACAGGGAACGCCAGTTGAGTGTTCTGCTAGCTCTTTTGTGCACACTTGTATGTGTAAATGCTACTATATGCATACCTAAGATTGGAATTTTCTGTCCACCTCGACCACCACCTCCTCCTCCACCACCACCTCCACGGTCACCAAGCTCTCCTCCACCTCCACCGCCACCAAGCTCTCCTCCTCCCCCGCCTCCACCTTCACCTCCACCTCCACCGCCACCAAGCTCTCCTCCACCACCACCAAGCTCTCCTCCCCCACCTCCACCTACTCCCAGATCACCACCACCTCCACCTCCATCGCCTTCCCCACCTCCACGTACTCCCAGATCACCACCCCCTCCACCTCCAACACCACCAAGATCTCCTCCCCCACCTCCACCTACTCCTATATCACCTCTACCGCCACCAAGATCTCCTCCCCCACCTCCACCTACTCCCAGATCACCACTACCTCCACTTCCACCGAGGTCTTGACCACCATATCTATCTATAAGTTGTTGGACGAGCTTCCAATCTTCTCTATCGCTGTAATGTTATCAATATTCTAGGGGAAACGTTAAAAGCCCATATTACATTACAATCACATTGGTTGTAATATTAATGTAGCTCAGAAAAAAAAAAAAAAATCCTACAAATTTCCAACAATAAAACTCTTTTGAAAGTTTCCTTTATCAACTTTCTATTGGCAACAAAAAACTTGGAATACGTACAACTTCATATCCAGGACATAAGAGCGTGGAGTTCCTAGCATTGAATAGTGTTATACATGAAATAAATTTACAAATACTGTATCCAATCTGAGATATTGTTTGTAAATGTGTTGTAATATATATGTGCATTAAATAAAACAGATGTTTCCCCTTGGGTATCAAAGTGTTATATTTAGCTTCGAGATACTTTTCTAACTGCTATTAGTCAATTGTATTGCATGAAAATCATTACAAAAGATAAATCTATTTGGTTTCTATGACTTACATGTGTAGACTTATCATTATTAACGATTGTGCGTCTTGTTAAATACAATGGACACAAATTGTGTGCTAATACAGATTATCCTTGAAAACAGTTGGTGATAATGATGTGCTTACCCCTACACTAAATAATTATTTAACTCATTTACAACAAATGAATTACTTAATTCAGTTGGATTGGTAGAATATGAAACGGTTCATGTTTAGACTCTTGATGGAAAATGTGAAAGACAGTGGAATGTAGTAATATTATTGTCATAGAGGAGAAAAATAGTTCCTGTGCGAGACTCAAAGGTCAGACCGTGATATAATGACTTTGTTATCCTTGTAAAATTATGATTTCATCTTGTGCCTTCTTATTGGATTTGGACGAGGCCCATTAGAGTTCGATCGAAGTTAACGAAGGCCCAAGTGGCAACCAAGTAAAAGTCCATAATCGGGGCTCTCCAGAGGCCAGCCGAAGTGCCTGTAGACGTATCCATTGTTATGCCTACAAAATTACATATTGATGGGCTTGGACTTAGGCTCACATCGCATAACCTTCTTGGCCCAATTCATTTCACTTGTGTGTATGTGTGTATATATATAAGGAAATGATCTTCTAAACACCAGTGCTTAACTTATGTTAAGCATCGGTGATAAGGCAAGTCATGTAATTGGTGAATAAGTTAATGGTAAATCCCATGTATTTAATGATTTACCAATTAAATCATTCTTGTGTATATATATATACTCGAATCCATTACAATAAAGGGAAAAAAAGGTGGGAAGTGGCTGGAAACTTGTTGGCCCATTTTTGTATGTCAACATATTGGCGCCGTATGTGGGAAATCGATACATTAATCATGTTCTACCACATACAAAAGCCACGGGAAAAACATAATTTTTTCAGGCAGTTTGTTCTACCCAAAAATCATGGAGTCAGCCATCAAAGAAAGAAGAAAAATGGCTACTGAAAATCTGCTTGAAAAAAGGATCTTCCGGTTAATCCGTTAATGGTTGAAGAAACCACTATGAAAAATGGTTATTTTCGGCCATGGAAATACTGCAAATGAAGTTACTGGAGAGAGAGAATTTTCACTATCAAAAGGAATTTTAAATATTTTTGTTATGATTCCACAAAAAAAATGAGGAAGAACTTCTCTTTGCCTACTCGAAGCTACATGCTTGAAGAAATTTTGTCCAAATAGAGTTTTTTTTACAGTAAAGTTGAATAATTTTTCCAAGCAATTTATGATA